CATGACTTAATATTGTTATCTGTAACTCCATTCTTGTCGTCTTAACATCTGCCCACCTTTGCGTCTGTGTGTGTGTGTGTGTGTGTGTATGTGTGTGTGTGTGTGTGTGTGTGTGTGAAGCACATATACATATTGAATACATTATAATGCATACTCAAAAAAAAAAAACGTACCATTTTTTGTCAAGACTTGGGGTCCTGGGCTGGCGTGACCACTAGATGGAGCCATGGTGTCCGTTCGGCCGAGCATAACCATGGGCGCGCCTCTTGGAAGAAGCTCGGTACTTCACGATAACGTAATGAGCTGCTTATTGTCTTATGACCAGGGGCACATTTCGTGCAGGAAGGTCGGTATTTTGAAATCCAAGAAATGTCTTCCAGATAAAGATCAAATGAGCTCAATCCTTGATGAGGTCACTTTTTTATGTGAAGTCGTTACCATGGTCACCTCTTTTTATCTACGTTAAAGTCTGTTCTACTGTGGACTTCGTAATTACTCGGGCACAACCACATAACACTGTATATCAAAGGCGCGAGTCAACACTCTTTTTTCATAAGCGCGAGCACTGCCTCTTCTGGAGTTACATTAGTCTTGTATCGTCCCCAACGACAATCTTATGTTCTCCGTGGGGTGTTTCTGAACAGGATCTGGTGAAGCAAAAAAAAATAAAATAATTAACGAACAGGTAAATGTCAAGTGCAGTCAAAATTGTCCAAGACAGCCACCCATTGTGGAAGATAAAAGTGGTTGTTTTTTAGAGGTGGACGTTTTGGACAGTGTCATTATAATATAGAAAAACGCAAGGGGAGAAACGGGGAGTGGTAGTTTGCACAAGTGGTTGTCTTAGACAGGTGACAGTCAGAGCAGCAGCGACTTATACTCAGTTTTTTGTTTTTTCCTTTTGGCCAAAAAAGATCCATACATTTCCAACATTTTCCGTCAATCTTTTGTTTCAAACTCTCTTTAACAAAAAACAACGAAACAACAACGACAAAAAACAAACAAACAAACTTCTTTCACTCTCAGAAACTATACAGGTACTTGCTCTGTTCTTGTATCACACAGATAAGACACGCATTATGCTCTCACAAACATGGACACATTTACTTATACGCGAACACATTAAAGGACACACATCAACACAAAAGCATATATTATGATATACATGTGCATACACAAATACACGCATGCACACACACACACACACACACACACACACACACACACACACACACACACACACACACACACACTCAATATAGCTATGAATATAGCAATATAGTTTACATATTCTTATGTGCACATCACTGCCCAGACACACACTTACGCTCACTCACAACTCTATATAATAATTTAATAAGCTTAGCTCTTTTCTCCTATAAAGTGTAAATGTCCGTCCCTGACCCGATATCTCAACGAAGTTTAGTGTAAAAGTTTAACTGCACTTGCAAACTATACACATATATTTTTAAAAAAAGGTCATACAAGTGTAGATTACCCCAACACTACGCATCAATGTCATTTGTTTACCATACGACATCATTCTGTTTGATGCTAAATATCAAATTTAAAACTGTCACCTGCAAAAGAAACCCCAGTTCAAGACCACATATTTACAATATAAAGGAGAAGTGCCAATCGAATAGTAATATCTGTCCGCGTGATACTCCGTTAATGTAGTGTCTGGCAGTACGACACAAAGTGAGGATTAGTGGCCACCTTGAATTATTAAAAATGTGGCCACTATGAAACTCGTGGATCAATACATACAATACATACGCCAAGGGTTTTGCCACTATCCTCATGGCTATCGATACGCATTTTCATTCACTAATTAGTTCGAACTGATGGGGAAATCCACACACGCAGGCACGCACGCTCTCACGTACGCTCTCACGCACGCACGCACGCACGACGCATGCATTCACTCACACATGCACACTCACAGTGAGAGAGAGGGAGAGACAGAGAGAAAGAGAGAGATAGAGAGAGGGAGAGAGAGAGAGAGAGAAAGAGAGGGAGAGAGAGAGAGAAAGAGAGAGAGAGAGAGAGAGAGAGACGCTTTCTCTGATGTCCCCATCCTCTCTCTTATTGTCATCCACCTGCCACTCCCCTCCCCCAATCCGACCTCTCACTTATCCCTTCCTTTCCTCTCTCTCTCTCTCTCTCTCTCTCTCTCTCTCTCTCTCTCTCTCTCGCTCTCTCTCTCTTTTTCTCTCTCTTTCTCTCCCTCCTTCTTTCTAATTCTCTGTTATCTCGCTTTCTCTCTCGAGTTCGTTGCATGCATATTGTGTTTATTAGTATGTGCTTGTTTGTGTGTTTGTATTAGAAGTATGTGTTTGTCATAATTATAAGTGAATGTGCGAGCGTGCTTGTGCGTGTGTGTATGTGTGTGTGCTTGTTTGTGTATGCGTGCGTGTGTCTATGTGTGTGTGTGTGCGTGTGTGTGTGTATGTATGTATGTATGTATGTGTGTGTGTGTGCGTGTGTGTGTGTGTGT